TAAATTCCTTTCGTTTCGTGCTATATTAAAATATCATTGTTCGGATATGTAGCTTTTAAATAGTACATAAAAGGAATTGTATGTAATAACTTGTTTCGAAAGTTCCTTGGAAATGTAGATGGATTTGACTTTAAGTCACATAATTTTCTTTCAAATCTTATCAGTAACCTATTTTAATGTGTATGCTAGTGTTAGATTAGCACACGGTAGCTTACATATTTAACATATTAGAATAAATGCGAACTTTGCATGCTCATACAATTTAATACGATACAATATATCATAAACTATTTAGACAAAAATAATTGGTGAAACTTACCTCATTTTCAGGGTTACTTTCCTTGAATTTGATTTCCAAGCTATATAGATTATTTTAATGGCAGACTACTTGTACATAATACTTATAAATTCTATTTTCAATATTACTTTAAATTTTTGTTTTTCATTTTGTCCTTTGTCTCCTGTTTGTCACATTTCAAATATCTTTGTTTTTCATTAAACATGTGTGTCCACTACATGTACACTTGAAGAACAAATATTGAAAAATATGCCATTTTTAATGAAGTCTGTCTAGCTTTGAAGAATAAATATTTTTACAAACTACTCAAATCCAATTTTTTATAATAATCAGCTACTTAAAATGCAGAATAAACATTTTTTGTCGTATCTGTCCTTGAAATAAGCCTAATTTTCAAATTTTTTTGCACATAACTCGAAATGATACATCTAATATTTTCCCTGAAACTATTTCGTGTATCAAATCATACACTTTTAATTGTATACAGCTTTATTATCCATCTGATATGTTAAACTCAAAACAAAAAGTTGAAAATGCAAAAGGAAATACTAGTATTTCGTTGTAGCTGGAATTCGAACTCGTGACCTGCCTCTCTAGACCATTGTGAAACGCAAAAATAACATAAATGAACAAATCTTTTATCGCCTGGTAACAAATTATTAAAACACAAACCTATTTTCACTCAATTTATGTAGGTAAAGAAAACTCTAACTTATTTAAGCCGCTGCCTTTCCTTGAAATGCCCAAACATAGTTACAAATTAACAATGAAGGTATCAATAACCTCTTAGCCACAGCTTGCTGTCTTATTTTGTTGCTCTGTTTTGCCACGATAATAAATCCAATAAGTCTGTCATATAATGCATAACACTATCTATGACATAATAATACAGATATTCATTTTCTAGGTAATTTATATCACAATTTAAGATACACGGTATTTCATGATAAACATGTTCCAGGACATGCAATCCTAAACCAATGATGACACTAAAAAGTGAAATTACTTGTTTACATCGGGTCCAGGATGTACAACGACATGTCCCAGCAAGGCACACATACTTTGAATCGGGAAACATAAGTATATAGCATAAGCCATTTAATAAATAAACGAATATATTATGAAAAAGTTAAATGTGTGATTTTCAACACTTTAAAATATGTTTAAAACTGCACTCTTAAATTTTAAGCTTTATTTATATCTGCAAGTAGTTCTGCAGAGAAGCAACTATTATGGCCGAAAAACTGATACGTAAAGTACTTTCGCCACTATTAGTAATTTGAATAAATAAGAAATTACATAAAATAGAGAAATTAAAGATTACATAAAAAAGAATAAATGAAATGGGTAAAGGAACAAACAAGAAAAAACCTGAAATACGTTTGTCCTTTGATTCCATTTGAATAAGACTAAAATGTCTCACACAGGACCTAAAAAAATGTCTTTTAATTTGATTGATAAATCATTAACAAGTTCCAAAACCACAATTTATTGTTTATGCGATGTCTAAAAACACCAACTTCCCGAAAAAAAAAAGGGGGAAAAAATTCTTGTATTTCCGATTAATAAAGACTTTGACTTATATGATTCAAAGATATGCTTTAAGTATCATTAAAATACAACAAAAACAACAACAAACAAAACAAAAAACAATTGCTTTACTATAATGAAAATGATACTGGTACACCTAAAGGTAATTCAATGTGAAATTTAAAACAGTTGAAGGTAAAAATACACTTTTTTGGCTAATGCCAAATGAGACTTGTAAAAATTCTAATGGTTCGGATGCTAAATAAGCTAATAAGATGTTCACTGTGATATTACCTTGCTGTACGTACTTGTTCTTAGAAAACAACTCGGCGCTTCCGTGACTCGTATATTGTTTTGTAAAAGCGAGAGATATATGTATGAATTAATCACAAAAATGGACTTTTTCTCAAGGTTATCGTTTCGAGAGATAAGAAAATGCCATAATGCATATGAAAAAAATGTGAGGCTTGTATACATACATAAATGTGTTTATTTATTTGAAAACATCAACAACTACTACAAAATAAATATGTATAAAAACAACAGCACAAATACATATAAAGGCATTGAACATATTAGTTTAAACAATGTTATAACTTCTGAGACTGAACAAGAGCATCTCATAATTTTCGAACAAATATCACAATTTTAAAGTAACAAAAAAAGTTGTGTAACAATGCTTTTGAGGAATAAAATTGGTTTTGATACCAGTACCACGGGGAATACAATTTTAAAGATTAAAAACGTGTTTAAACGGTATAAAATGTAATTTAATAGGTTAATTTCAAAATTGAGAGAAAGGGAAATCAGGTATAGTATAAAAGTGTGGTCAAAAATTGGGTTACAGTTAGTCAATATTCACATATTTCCTTATAACATGTTATCTTATTTTATTGTTATTGTCACTAATACAATGTTACACGCTATCGTTTGCATCCTGCACTAAGCTTTCGCAGAACTTAAAACATGAAATCGTAATTACATAAACGAAAACATCCACAGAATATTCTTATATATGATAATCAATCAATATCAGCGATCATAGGTTACTAAACTATAAGCTAGAACCGATAGTTCTATCTTCTTCTTTTTTATTGTTGTGTTGTTAGGTTTTAACCTGGTCACCTCTCTTAATCAAATTGATAAATCGTATTTCAACGTCCATCTTATAATAATATTTATCAATAAAAAGTTTGTATACAAATTACACAGAAAATTTATATGACAAAGATGCAAAGTTCAATACAAATTAAGTTCAATACAAATTAAATAAAGTGTACAGTAAACTCCGCTTATAACGAACTCACTGGGACATTCAAAACCTGTTCCTTATATCCGGAGTTCCTTGAAAAGCCATATAGCGGAATTAGTTCCTTGTAAACAGATTTTACATAATAACAAACTGACTGTTTTTTACCACTGTCCGCCATTTTTGAAGGCATTTGAAAATTAAATGAAATAGGAATATATTAGTCATTTATTTATCATTTTAGACACAATACCCGAGAGCGTACTTTTTTGGAATTTGAAAATCAATTGGCTATTTCAGTTTAAAATTTACTCCCTATCTCAATTTCACATAAAATATAAATATTTGTTTTGCTAAACTCGTTTCGTTTTCTTTCCATAATTTAAAATTATTAAGATTTTTCGATTTTTCCTTCCTTTTTATAATGAAATACAGTATCATCTTTTATAATTTAAGGGTGACTTTTACTAATGTAAGATATAGATTTCTTTTCATTTACATCAAGCGTACTTTGCAGTTTGCATTTGATCATGCTTGCAAGCATGCATGATTATGTTGAAAAGCGATTATAAATTATTATTATTATTTTACTCGAGCAAAACTATTGAAGAAAATAAATAAATAGCCGTTTTTTCTTGGTGAAAAGAGCTCATCCTAAAAATATCATAAATAGAAAGTTGAAAATGCGGGATCTATTTACGAATAGCCAATATTTTGGAGTTCGTTATAAAAGTGTAATTTTCTATACTATTAACTAAATTGGGACTAAGAAATGATTTCCTTATAAGCGATATTTCCTTATAACCGTGTTCGCTGTAATCATATATTTTTATATTAAATAAAGAAGGGCAAAATTCGGGCCAAAATAAATTGTTCCCCTTTAACCGGAAGTTCGCTATGAGTGAAGTTTACGGTATAGCACATTACGGTGGCGAAAAATCAACCAAGATACTTTGGATCAAATTATGAATGCTATTGTAAAATCTTAATCTTCTAAATTTTCATTTTAAAGTCTACTAAAATGGCTATGAAATCACGAAGTCCTAAAGATATCTATATTAATCATACTTCTTTTGTTAACATTCGTTCGATACTTCTAAAGACATTCAATACGCATTTATGTAAATTTCACGTCTATTTAAAAAACACACTGTAAAGAAAAATGTGGTGTACACTTGTATGGTTGTTTTCACTCCCGTTTTATTAGATTTATTATTCTTGTCAGCTTAAAAAGAAGTCTAAGTGTTGAATATACAAAATATTGAGTATGGTTGTTTTCACTCCCGTTTTATTAGATTTATTATTCTTGTCAGCTTAAAAAGAAGTCTAAGTGTTGAATATACAAAATATTGAAATCACGATGGTGTGTACTATGGTAGTTTTATTATTTATCTACGTACACATATCTACAGGTATGTTGATTTGTTATCAATAAATAAGTATAATTGCTTCAGTAGAGTCTTTGAATTTGACCATACTCTGTGAACTGTATTTTTACATTGTTTTTAATAAAACATGAACTTTTTTATTAGAAAAGAATATTTGTATACCATATTATTAACTCTTACCGAACTTATTTTTAAGCAATTGCGAGTAAAGAAACTGGCTTGTTCTAGTAGACGATGGGGCATCAATTGTACGAACACGTGTCCTAAATTCTGCTCGTCAAACGGAATGCGACAAAATCACCGGTTTTTGCTATGGATGTAACGGCGCTTTTCAAGGAAAAATACTGTGACATACCATGCCCTTCGCCATGTACGTCTTGCAATCAATTCATATTGGAGAATGTACAAGCTGCTATGCTAGCTGTACGAGTTAATTGTGACATACCGTGTCCAATTAATTGTAATAGCTGTAGGAAATATATGACGGTGCATGTTTTTGTCTTGTAAAGATGGCTTGGTATGGAAATATATGTGACGGACGTTGCTTTTTCAGGACCAGGTTGTGCGAGAAGCTATTGCACTATGTCAACTGGCGATTGTACTTATTGTAAGAATGGATGGTACGGATCAAAATGCAGGCAACAATGCAAGAAGTGTTTCGGTGCATGCTCAAAAGATTCTGGAATATGTACTCACTGTGTTTCAGGATTTTGGGGACCAGATTGCACAAAGGACTGTTTAGGGACGTGTGAAATGTGTGGTAGATATGACGGGAAATGTTTGGTGTGCCGGGACAAATACTGGGGACCAAGCTGCTCAAGCCTCTGTGACTCCGAAAACTGCGAGAGATGTGATGTGAATACAGGAATATGCAAAAAGTGTAAAGCAGGTTACTGGGGTAAGGATTGTGAGATACAATGTATCAATTGTATCGACAAAAAGTGTGATATATCATCTGGCTTATGTGAAACGTGTCAGGAGGGGTATGCAGGCAAATATTGCAACATAAGATGTGACACGTCTAGATGTTCAAATTGGTACTGCAATAAAAGACAGGGATTCGCCTGCTCCTCTTGTAAATATGGGTATTGGGGAAACTATTGTGAAAAGGAATGTATCGGAGAAAATTGCGGACAATGCAGTAAATCTGAGGGGATATGTATCACATGCACTTACGGTTTTTGGGGAGATTCCTGTGAGAAGAAATGTCCAGTTAACTGAAGACAAAGCTGCAATAAAAGTTCCAGTGCCTGTGATTATGTATGTGATGAGAGAACCTTACCTAACTACCAACAGTGCTCTTCAAGGACGTATTGTAAAACAGGATATTGGGGATCATGGTGTGAAAATAAATGTTTAGAAGAAAGTTGCGAGAAATGTGATGCATCATCTGCCTTTGGGCTTTGCTCCAAATGTAAGACTGGATTCTGGGGACATAATTGTTCTAGTAGATGCCCTATTGACAAATGTATTGAATGCCATATAGATGACGGTCACTGTACACTGTGCAAGAATGGATTTTGGGGAAGGAATTGCGATTTACAATGTCCTGATCAGTGCCGATGTTGTGATGCTGTCTCTGGTATTTGTATGCAGGACAAGTGTTTAAACATAATCAACCAGCAGAATGTATCAGGTAGCCGTTTTAGGTATTCTATAGAAGATAATTTAAACTTTTACAGATGAAACGGCTCAACTATGTATTACTGTTTTCGTTAAAAAGTATCATTATAGTATAAGAATATATAAAGTCTATTGATATAAAAACTAATTCATCTGTCTATACATTCAGTATTGTAAGTTTAAAGCGTAGCAAATCATAGCTGATATTATGTTTTTTCTTCTCTTTTAGACAATGACACATTGACGATTGTTGATATTGTCCTGATTGTCTGTTCAATTATCGTAGCGGGTGTCTCGGTTATCACATTTATTTTCTGTTTCTATATTCAGAGACGGTAGGTTTTACATTATTGATGTTATTAAAAAATGTAATTGAAATAAAATTAGATTAAAAAATGCCTGATAAGAATTTAGGACATTGGACAAATCGTTTCTTGGATATTGATTCAGATAAGGACAAAGTAAACTCCAGATCTCCCATTCCAGTTTCATTGGCAAGGGATAAATAACAATAATAATTATCATCATTATACAAAAATGTAGTATCATTATTATAATCATTATTTTACATGTACACATATATCAAATACAGTTATCATGCATTCTGGTGCTTAAAATGTATACAAAATACAAAATAAGCAATGAATTAACTGTTAGTGATATGAAAATATCATTTCCAGATCATTGCAAACAAATACAATGTAATAACATTCAAAACGACTACGTAGTCCTAATAAAGTTGTCCTCTGAGTAATATAGCAATTCTATTAAACTATCGAAACAGGTATTGTTTGTTGTGCACACATTTAATAGTATACTGAGAGAAAAAAGTTTAGCAAGTTCGGAAATATTTCACTGGTTTATTGAAACTATACCAGTTTGACTTAAACCAAGTACATAATTGAATAAAGCATTTAGTTTTCAATTAGTTTGTAACAATAAATTGTCAAAACCCTGTTGCCTTAGCTCACTGTACAGCCTGAAAGACGTGAGGGGTAAGGCGTCAAAATTCACAAGGAGTTCAGTATCTAGTGTTGCCTTGCCGCGCGAAGCCTATTTCTCACGGTTCTGAGGCACACCCATTGTTGAGTGGCCCAGTAGTATTTCCTGAGATCTCGGGCTATCTTCCACATGGACATAAACCGGCTACGTCGAGAAAGCGTCGTTATGTGACGGTCTTCGCGTGGCGTTGTTTTCCGTGGTCTGCCTGATCTGGGTCTGTCGTTGACTCGTCCTGTTTGCCTCAGACGGTTTCTAAGGCGATTAATTGTAGACTCATGGCGATTGAAATGCCGAGCGGCAGCTCTTGCCGTCATACCAGCGTGGAGCATACCTATTTGACGTTCTTCTAACGTTATTCCTTGGCGACTCCCCATTGGATTTTCTTCGAGTTTTAAACTGGTTATTTTGTTTGTGGTAACAGCTCAAAACAATGAGGTACATTACTCGACTCTACACGCTACCGAAATTGCCGTGCTTACGTTGCATGTGATTTTCGAGTTTCTTACGCTTCGCTGGTAAAACACACGGTTTTCGAACAAACACAATTAATGGTAGGATACTACGTCATCGCGCACCTGCTGAATGCTCCCACTTGGACCATTTTTTCGTCGATTCGAAGGTAAAGTACAATTTTATTATAAGAAAACGTAAGAGTATTAAAAAAATATGTAGCGCACCAAAGAATGGCTATAGTACTTGAGATAATTGTAAAAAAAGTTTATAGATTCATTGCCTGGTTTAAGCCTGAAAACGGGATAAGTGTTTTTCTTTGAATGCTCCCACTCGGACTTTTCCCGAAACATATCAGATAAAAGGTTGAAAACCTTCTTGAAAATTATTTTTAACGTACCGGAACATAAACCGAGTCATGTTTATCCATTTTTCTAGACTAGTTTCAAATATTTTTATTCAGAAATCAGTTTTTCTTAATTCTTTTTATAAAAATGGAAAATGCTCCCACTCGGACTCATCGTCAGAGATGCTCCCACTCGGACCTAAATAAACACATATTTTGAAAGCATATTGCTGTGTTAAGAATTTTTTTTTTTTTTGATTATCTTTATATTCAAGTTCATTTATTTATGTTATCAGTTAGAAATCAATGAAACAGCATTTTTTAAAATACGATATAATATTTTAGATCACTAAATGGTGGACACATTGTATCATAACAGTCTCGTAAATATGTTTCTTAGAGGATCAGTTATCGGCCCGAAGAATAAGGAAAGAAGGTTGTGTTGAAACAATTCCTCGTTAAATAGAGTCGCTGAAATAAGAAACAAATTGATTATACCATTTACAAATATGAATAACGTTTGTTTTGGCAGAAAGTATTTGTGTTTGTGACCAGTATGGGAAAAGGTATAAACCACATTGCGACGTAAGGAAGCACATGGTAGGACATCTTGGCACGGCATAGCTGGATACCAACTTTGGATATATCTCAGTGAGGAAACACACAAGAATTGTAGCTCTTTGAAGTAATTGTCTTTTGTTCAGTTTTTGCGTTAATCATTGGACAATGTGTCATAAAGGATCAATTTATCTGAAACTTCACTGGAGGATAGATATACCACAAACAAGAATGACCACTCTCCAGTTTTGGAGTTATTGCCCTTTGTATTCACTATGATTAGTTTGCAAGGACCATACCGCTAAAGGCATTTGAGATATAAAATTGAAACTTTATATTGAACAAAACTTGCGTATGCTGTTTTTAATTTAAGAAAACAACACTGGGACAGTGTAGATAGAAGTGAATAGCAGAGCATAAGGGCCAGAAATGTTCACTTAATGCTTCTTTGTTGTTAATTTCTTTGTTTTTTTTTCATGGGAGTGTTATTTTTGTCATGATTTATTATGTCTAGGCTATAACTTTTCATTAATTTTTACGAGTGTCATTACTTGGATTTTTACATGTATGTAAGGGTTACTTCCCCTATGAAATGTATTTCCTCCTTTTCGGTGGGGGATTTTACTGCCTGTGATTCCTCCTTGTATGACTGTTATCATTTTAACGTCATTTAAATATTCTGAAATCAACTTTGGTTTTATGTAATAAAAATAATGCTCAAATGAAGATTTATCAATATTGTATGTTCCAAAAAGCATTATTTGTAAAGATAATACCGAATTAATATTTCATTAAGGGAGGTAATTAGAAATATATTTTCTTTTAAGTGTAAGTTGAATTCATAAATATGAAATGAATGCATACATGTATATTTTAATGATTACATATAATGTGGACAAGCATTTGCAGTACGTATTTCACATATTCCTTAATGATTGAAAATTTGTTTTTAGTAGCAATAATTATATACATATATATAAAAATTTCAATTGTAATTACCAAGATATGGTAAAGACTGTGATAAAGAAATAACTGTGATCTTTGTTTTCTTATTTATTGATTTTGTTATTTTAGGTAAAAATTACGTACATATGATAACTTTCATACTTTAAAATGTCAAAGTTCTCCAATAATTGTGATGCATGCTTTATATGCCAATAGTATGGCAGTACATTTGACTTTTTAACAGTTCATGACAAATATGATTCACAGGTTGTTTCTTTAATAAACTATTCAAATTCAACCGATAGATATTGACTTCTTTATGTTCATAAACGTACTATTATCTTGTTATAAAAATCTAAATCACAAGTTTAACAAACACGCAAATCATTGGGGTTTTTAAATTATTAACAAGATATTAAAAGTCAGCAATTATTGAATAAATGCAGGCCTTCTAATATGTGTACGAGTCCAACAGAATCTTAATCCAGTATGGTACTAAACAATGTATAATGAATTCTTTATAAAGCACCACCATTGTTTAAACATCTCAAAAAAACTTTATTTTTGAGATCCTAACTGTCCATTTAAAGTCTTATAGTCCTATCTTTGTTGTTGGCAATAATTTTGAATCATCTCTTCGGATCCCACACAAGCCAAGTGCACCTTTTTGTAAAGTGATCCTGTCTGTTGAAACTTTGCCATGGCACCGGGTCCTGCCCAAGGACGTAAGAAGTGATCTCTGTTAAAGAAGGTAAAAGTTAATGTCGCCAAACACAGTAGTTATTGATAAAATGGTTTAAAAATTGTAAGAAAAATCCATAAAAGCTTGGCACATCAATGTGCTTTCAAAATGTATATATTTGGGTCCGAGTGGGAGCATCTCTGAAATCGAGTCCAAGTGGGAGCATTTTCAATTTTTTTATAAAAAAAAAAGGTTTAAAAACTGACTTTTGAATAGAAATATTTAAAACTTATCTAGAAAAATGTGTAAACATGACTCGGTTTATGTTCCGGTACGTTAAAAATAATTTTCAAGAAGGTTTTCAACTTTTTTTCTTATATGTTTCGGGAAAAGTCCGAGTGGGAGCATTCAGAGAAAAACACTTATCCCGTTTTCAGGCTTAAACCAGGCAATGAATCTAAAAAAATTATTTTACAATTTTTCTCAAAATACCCATAGCCCTTTTTTTGTTCGGTAACCCTTTAAATTTTTTAATAAATCTTAAATTTTTTTATAATAAAAATTTTATTTTTTTCCTTCGAATCGGCCCCAAAAAAAGGTCCCCAAAATGGGAGCATTCAGCAAAGGTGCGCGATGGGGTAGTAAACCCACCCTTGGGGCAATAGGATGTGTTTAAGAGGGATCGATAATTTTAAAAACAACGTCTTCCTTCGAAACTCAAAAAAAAAAAATTTAAAAGGTTGAAAAAAAAGCTTAAAATTTTTTTTTTTCAGTATATATTAAAATAAAAACATTTTCGAATCTTTGTAGGGAAAACCCCCCCGCCCCTCAAGTCCCTTTTTTTTGTTCAAAGGGAATATTCAAATTTTTAAAAAAAAGATTAAAACCTGTACATTCACTAGATATTACAAGAATTGCATAAGAAAATCGTACAAAAACAGAAAAAGTCTTTTTCTTGTAAAACTTTTTCATGTTAGGGGTTTTTTTTAAGTTTTCCAAAAAAAAAATGGGAAAAAATTTTTAACAAAATATCTCTTTAAAAAAAATTAAAATTTTTATTAAAAAAGAAACAGTCAAACCAAAAAATTCAAGTTTTTAACATACTGTTGTAAGATTAAGTTATTTTGCTCAGTATAGTTTGCGATGAAAAGTTGTTATATCTGTTTTCTTGTTTCAATTTTATATTCATTTCTATCTTACAGTCGCATAAAGCAAAAGTCTAAACAACAGAAGAAGAAGAATAACAATAATGCCAAAGGATCGAAAGGAGGTCATTATAGTTTTTCAATGTCATGTCTTATTTGAAAAAAAAATTGAATAATCACTGTAAGATGAAGTGATAAAGTGTCTCTTTGCATGAAGCAGTGGATATTTCACTAAACAAACAAATTATATTTGATTTACATTTAAACACAAATCAAACATTTTTAAAGTGATAAAAATCCATGAAAAATGTACACAGTTTAAAAATCAGAATTTATGCAGTATCGCTTTCTTGAATTGAATTATATGTGACACAGATAAACTTATAATTCGTTTGTATTAATCTATCATTAAAAAGATTTTTTAATTTAAAATTTTTATTGACTTACTTGCAGAAGTGGACGGTATGACAGATACGAAATTTTAAACAGAATCAATCGAACAACAACCGCCTTGTAACTTGGAACTATTTTACACCTATACAACGCATAAGTAGCACATGTTGTTTAAAACAGTATGGTTAAACACTTTTGTTGAAATATGCAAAGATCTGCAAACCTATTAATGCAAATATTATGTATAAGTGTAAAAAATTCTTTTAGAATTAGTTCTTTTTAAAATGATTTTGATTAATTTATGAAGCTTATAACGTTATGCGGCAGAGGTCAGAAAAATGCACTCAAAGCATTGAAAATAATGTTTTAAAATGAAGAACTTCTTGTTAAATACGTATCATTTAAAGATGTTTTTGCTATTGAAAACCAGCCGTAATATTAATTTATTGTTACACCCATTTTGTAATTGAAATAAGGAAGTCCTTCAGGAATATAATTATGATAGCATGAAGACGATCAGGGGTGAATCAATTATCTTTGAATGGATTTATTTTATTTTTTATAAATAACTCGTTGTAAAGATATCATTTATATTTTCGCGTTCATTTATTGCAAAAAAAGATTGTAATCGTTTTTCGTTTTTAATTCATAATATCGATTCATAGTCAAATAGCTAGCATAATTAATGGCTTTTACGAAAGTTAACATTCCTAAGCGAGACCCGACACATAATCATTTAAGTATTTTATTTAAATATAGAAATAAGTTATTTGCATATACCTGTATTAGGAAGCAATGCTACGAGGGGTTATCCAAAAATTCGTGGACATTTTTTGTTGCGTAAAATATATTTGAGATATTAATTTGAAATTCCTACACTGCTTAGAAGAATTAATAACAAATAAACACAGAAAAATTCATGTGAGTAGCTACTTTTATTACAACAATATTAAATTTTACATAAACACATGTCGGCGACAGCGGCGCACTCCAAAATGTTATTGACGTCAACGTCATAATATTAACATACAACTTGTGCTTCAACGTTACGCAGTCAATGACGCTTACTGCTTCTCAAGGTAATGTCCATCACTAAATTTTTTATGCCACTTTAACACTAATGATCGTGAAATTTTCTTTTCTCTGTTCGTCTGCTGATTTTTATTAAATGTTTTTGTAGGTGTCATTTCCAAATTACAACAAAAATTTATGATTATTTACAATCGTGCGATTTTCTAATTACCGTGTGTCCGTCATTTTCCCATTTTAAACAATAAAGGAGTCTGGCGTTTTTAGTGATATCAACAAAAATAAACGGAAACGACGTTCATTATTTTAGAGAATTACTTAAATGACATCATAGAAGAAACATGCGATGTTCAGCGGGTTTTCTACGTAGATTTATTATTTTTTTAGCAAGAAATATCCGATGACTTACTGCGCTTTTCTACCGTGCGCCGGGTGCCGTGTATGTGCTTATTTAAAAGCAATATAAAATCATTATTTATTGACACAATTAACTGTTCCTTTCAAAATGTCTTGATAATATTCTAAAATGTATGCTGATAAATTTTCATTACAATACACGTTGGCGTTTAAGAGATATTTAAAAAGTCCACGAATTTTTGGATAACCCCTCGTATAAATGTGGTAATTAAAAATAGATAATTAATTATTTTTCAGTTCCTAAACATACAGAAAAAAGCTATATTATATATTTGTTTTCTTTGCCAAACTGTACCTGGCTGATGTGTCGCCTTCATTTCCTTATCATTTTGAATATCAAACATTTATTTTTATCAATATTGTTTCAAGAAATTATTAGATTTATTTTACTTTTCCTTCTATTTTTACTTTTTGTATTATTATCCCTTGACGCATTGAACTTGATAATCATTTCCTTTGTTATAATATTTATATCAGCTAGGATGTAAATGTAATAAAAGCCTACTTCATGTTTAACTTGTTGAATAATCTTCCACTTTCATGTTAACATTGATTTATACCTTAAAGCATAATTATCAATAAAGTTTTATTTTCTAAGCAAAGTTCATTGTGTATGTGATTAACCTTTTCATTTTCTATATAGTATTTATTTCTGGAATGGCAAGGAATAAAATGAAATGCCCTTTTTATAATAAATTGAAGGGAAAGATAATTCCGTAATAAACATCATGCATTCTTCATTTTAAGAATCACTTATAAAGAATTGTAACGTGTCTTAAAAGGCGTTATTAAGTGTATTTGTGTAGAAAATATAGGGTATTGAATGAGCGCAAGTCCAATACTGAGTTTATTGAACAGTTAAATTAAGTTATATCAAACAAGCCTCTGGCGGGCATTATATTAATTTATTCAACGGGTTCATTTAAGTCAGTAATGAATCTACACGAATATAATATTGTTTATATCTTATACCCAAAATGAAAACTATTGAAGTGAAAAAGAATCATTTTTTAATTGACGCGCCTATAGTGTAAAACTAACATTTAACGCGTCTTTACACTATGTTTTTCGCAAACGACGTCAATATAAAATATATGCACGGCCCTACAATACCATTTTTTACGGAGCCGGAAAAATGGCAAGGGTATATGATTATCATTATATTAAAGGTAAAGCATGTAAGAAGTTAGCATGAACAGTGAGCTTAGCAAAGAGGCACTTCAATCTATATAAGTAAAAATTTGTTTTTGCAGAATGCTCAGCATGCTAAGCAGTCTAGCAGGATATTCTTAAATATATAATAAAAATGCTCTGCTAGAATACTTAGCTAGAAAAGCAATCTAGCGGGACATTCCTTAATAAAGTGTAGAAATGCTCTGCTTGAATGTTCAGCTAACTAAGATAACTGGCTGGGCATTCTTAAAAAAGTATTAAATTTATCTGCTGAAATGCCGCACTGGCAGAGCAAACTTACGGGACATTCTTTAAAATTAAGGGGATATTTTTTCGTTTGAGTGAAATATGGAATATATTTTCACGAAACAAGATAAAATGCCACATATTTTCACGAGCCGGGACGGCGAGTAAAAATATGTGACATTTTATAATGTTGAGTGAAAATATATACCATATTTCACGAAAAACGAAAAAATGACCTTTTTATTTTCATTATCAAAGAAAAATTGTTACAAGCCCCAATGCTTGCTACGCAACAGCAATTGTGCAGAGCGCAGTAATATAATCATTGTCTTGTTTTGCACGCGATATTTAGCGCTACATTGTGAGGTCACGAAAACAACTCTAAAAACGTCTGTACAGCGTTAATGATTGCATTAACGATATTGATGTTCGGATTAATTTTCTTAGTTAAACCATTTTCTATCATTCTAGATAGTTTTCAAAACAAAATTCAACAAAAAGTGTTTTTTATCTATCAGATTTTTCAAACAAAATGGTGAAAGAAGTCCCTTAAATTAAATATGTGTTTTGACTCCGTCCACTTTCATATTTATATTTTATATTTAAAGAATATGAAATATATTTGACTGATACAGCACCATATTTCATGGGTAAAATTAAATAAAGTGTTTTTTTTTGCTTGAATGTCCTGGCAGAGAAATATAGCGAGCCATTCCTAAATATTGTGTACGAGGGTTGTCCCAAAAGTCCGTGACAAATTTTATAGCCGGTTCATTTCTAACGCCAAAAGAAAATAATTCACACTTATAACCGTTAAGTTTATTATTTAACATTACAACAAATCATTTACAAAAAATTTACTCTAGTTACTTGAAATTTTCAGTATAAACGACATTGGTTTGAATACTCAACTGAAATGATCAGCTGGCAGAGCAATCCAGCAGAACATTCTGAAATACTAAAAAGAGTAAAAATGCTTTTCTTACTATAATGCTTATCTGGCTAAGTAATCTAGCCGGGCATTTCAATATATGATGTTGAAATGCTCTGCTGAAATACGTGCTAGAAGAGAAATCAAGCGGGGCATTCCTAAAATTAGTATACAAATGCTCTCCTGGAATTTTCAGCTGGAAGAAAAATTCTGAAATAAAGAGTAACTAGAACTCCGCGAGTCGGATGTGTCGCCTTGTGAACAACATAATTAGGTGAACTGGCAAGTAAAAAATGAAATATGAAAATTAACAAAGGGCAATAACTCAAAAAATAAGAAATGCAGAGTGCCAGTTCTCAAGCACTGCACTTATTCTTAATGAGATCTATCATCCTACGAAATGTCATGGCCATAGCTTTTATACTTTAGGACAAATGGCCCGGACGAATATAAAGTATGAAAATTAACAAAGGGCAAAAATTCAAAAAGTAAGAAATGCAGATTACCAGTTCTTGTGCACTGCACTTTATCTTAATGAGATAAATTATCCTATGAAGTTTCAAGTCTATAGCTTTTTTACTTAAGGAGAAATGGCATGGACAAAAATAAAGTAATTAACAAAGGACAATAACTCGAACAATAAGAAGGTGCTTGTGCACTGCACTTCTTCTTAATGAGATCTATCATCCTATGGAGTTTCAAGTCCATAGCTTTTATACATTAGGAGAAATGGCCCGGACAAAAATAAAGTATGAAAATTAACAAAGGGCAAAAACTCAAAAATTAAAAGAGTGCAGAGTACCGGTTCTTGTGCACTGCACTCTGGGTCATTATAAGAAGCGTGCATACCAAGTTTGAAGTCAATCCGACTTATAATGACTGACTTATGCTTCGGACAAGCTTAAAAAAGTAACCCCTATATGTCTATATATAACCCCTATATATGCTCCGCTGGCAGATCATTCAAGTAGAGCATTCTCAAATATAGAGTAAAACTGCTATGCTGGATGCTCATCTGGCTTAGCAATCTAGCGTTTATTTTTAAAAAACAGGGTCAAATTGTTCTGCTGGAATATTCAGCTGACAAGGTATTCTAAGAGGACATTCCTAGATATAGTGCAAAAAATTACCTGCTGTAATGCTCAGTTGGCAGAGCAATATAGTATTCTTGCAGAGAATTTTTAGAAAATGTTTCAGAATGCTCTGATAGATTGCCCTGTCAGCTAAGCATTCAAGCGGGGCTTTTTGCACTTTATTTAAGACAGCCCCGCTAGATTGGTTAGCCAGCTAAATATTCCAGCAGAGCCATCTGTGCTAGTTCCGCATTTCAGCAGAGCAATTTAAACTATAATTAATAATGCTCTGCTAGATTGCTTAGCCAACTAAGCATCAAGCAAAGCATTTTTGCACAAGTTTTAGGAATGTCCCGCTAGATTGCTCTGCCAGCATGACATTCCAAATGGCTAGCCTAGAAATGGGGAAAGTCGTTGTTTCCTTGATCAAGTAACTTAACACCCATTGCAGTGATGATGATTCATCAGAATCAGACACACTCAATTAGTTAATATTATATCAGTACATATCGGTTTTGCCTTCACTGAATACACACACAGATACACAGGATTGTTTTAAAAAATCAAAATCCATCCCTAAAGATCATCAAATAAGAAGTAAAAACAATGTTAGATACTCGATACTAAAATATATCGTAGCTGATTTCCATATGAACAAGTGGCAAACTGTGGTCCGTTCTACCATGCCTTTAATAAAATTAAAATAGATATTGCATAATTATATTTCTTGCGATTGAACGAAAAGCACGATTCATAAAAAGATACGAACAAACACGTATGTACATTATAAGCTTCATTGTTTAAAGCAGAAGAAACATTGAATGTAATGATATGAGCAAAGAGACGTTTTAACAAGTCAACATGGCCAAGGGTTATAGAGGTTTTTGTAATTATCAAAGTTTAATCATTCTAGATATTAAAACTTT